TGCTCACAGAATCCCTCTTCCCTCTCTTCACCTGGACTCCTGGAGCTGGGCCTGATGCCTGGCTATGGATCTCTGCATCTGCTTCCATCAGTTACTGGAAGAAGGCTCAATGACTACAGTTAAGGTATTCACTGATCTGATTGCTGGGGCAGGCTAGTTCAGGCACCCTCTCTACTATTGTTAGTAGTCTAAGGTACAGTCATCCTTGTGGAGTCCTGGGAACTTCTCTAGCACCAGGTTTTTAGCCATACCCATGATGTCTCCCTCTATCATGGTAACTCTTTCATTGCTCTCCCACTCTATCCCTGTTCCAGCTTGACTGTCCCATTCCCTTATGTTCTCATCCCCCATCCCCTACCTTTGATTGCCCGCCCCATACCCAGTTTACTCATGGAGATCTAATTTATTTCTCCTTACCAGGGTGATCCATACATGATCTTTGGATCCTCCTTGTCAGCTAGCTTCTCTGGAGCTGTGGGTTGTAGTCTAGTTATCCTTTGCTTTACATCTAGTATCCACTTATTAGTGAGTACATACCATGTTTGTCCTTCTGCATCTGGGTTACCTCACTCAGTGTGAAATTTTCTAGATCCATCCATTTGCCTGCAAATTTCATGATGTCATTGCTTTTTACTGCTGAGTAGTACTCCACTGTACATATATATCACATTTTCTTAATTCATTCTTCAGTTGAGGGGCATCTAGGTTGTTTCCAGGTTCTGGCTATCATGAATAATGCTGCAATGAACATAGTTGAGCATGTGTCCTTGTGGTATGATTGAGCATTTCTTGGGTATATGCCCAAGAGTGGTATGGCTGGATCTTGAAGTAGACTGACTTACAATTTTCTGAGAAACCACCATAATGATTTCCACAGTGGCTAGAAAAGTTTGCATTTCCATCAACAGTGGAGGAGTGTTCCCCTTGTTCCACATCCTCTCCAACATAAGCTGTCATCAGCATTTTTGATCCTAGCCATTCTGACAGGTATAAGATGGTATCTCAGATTCATTTTGATTTGCATTTCCCTGATGGCTAAGGATGTTGAGCAATTCCTTAAATGTCTTTTCGCCATTTGAGAGTCTTCTTTTGAGAATTCTCCATTTAGCACTGTACCCCTTTTTTTTTTTTTTTTTTTTTTTTTTTTTTTTTTTTAAAAAAAAAGGATTGTTTGTTATTTTGATGTTTGATACAGCTAACTTTCTCAGGACTTGACAATTAACTCAAAATTTTTCTTTTCAGAATCCCTTAAAGATGATGTCACCTCAGAAAACAGGAAGTAATTTTAAGAACATGATATCTACATTTCCAAGAGGTGGAGTTGGTGGCTTCTGATTATTCAATGGGTGTGGATAATTGTCATTGTTTAGGATGATTGGTTACAAGTTTTTAATTGCTAATAGTCAGGAAAAATGCTTTAAAAAGATTAGATTTAGCATTCTTCTTTATTAAAAAAAGAGGATATAGATATGATAAGTTAAAAGGTAGATTATTGAATCTACTCTAAAAAACAAAGATATAGAAATGATGAATAAAGGGTAGATTATTGAATCTACTCTGAAAAAAAAAAACAAAATAGAAATGATGAATAAAGGGTAGAGTATTAAATCAACCCTGAAAAGAAAAAAGAGAGGATATAGATATGTTTTTTAAAAAACATCTACTTTTAAAAGTATTTTCAATATTTTACACTGGATTTTTGTATACTGTATACAAATTATGTATATTGATACAGATTTGAGATTGATTTTGTTAGAAAATACTATACATATATTTCTTATTTTGTTCAAGGTATTATACCAATATAGTTCATTTAACAGTGCAATGCAATTTTCTAGTCCTTGAAAGTTATTACCAACTATTTAGATAATAAAGAAATTCAGGTTAGTAGTTAGTCATTACAATCTAATTTGTAGTCTTATTAGGTATATTTTCAAGGTCAAGCTGCTGTGGAATGGTCTGTATGTCAAATTACTCTGACTGGTCAATAAATAAAACACTGATTGGCCAGTGGCTAGGCAGGAAGTATAGGTGGGACTAACAGAGAGGAGAAAAGAAAGAACAGGAAGGTGGAAGGAGACCTGCCAGCCACCACCATGAAAAGCAGCATGTGAAGACGCTGGTAAGCCACGAGCCACATGGCAAGGTATAGATTTATGGAAATGGACTAATTTAAGCTATAAGAACAGTTAGTAAGAAGCCTGCCACAGCCATATAGTTTGTAAGCAATATAAGTCTCTGTGTTTACTTGGTTGGGTCTGAGCGGCTGTGGGACTGGTGGATGACAAAGATTTGTCCTGACTGTGGACAAGGCAGGAAAGCTCTAGCTACATCAAGCAGAAATATATTTTAGATAGACAAGTCATCTTCAAACACTTCAGAGATCTACAGAATTAAGATGTTTTAATAACACAGAATTTTTCATATTTTTATGATTATGAGACATGTCTGCTCCTGTCAGCACCGATATACTTCAGAGATGATGGGCATTGGAGAAACACCATATGGAATTTACTTTCTTGGTGGCAAAAGTTAGCCACTGGGCAAGAAAGTCCCCTTGCCTCAACTGCTGACAGTATGCCTTCCAAAATGGACAAGCAGCACACAAAAGAAAGAACTGCCGATCCTTGCCAAGACAAGGTAAGAAGGCTCTTTAGAAAACCTGGCTTCACAGATGAGTTTTTCAGATATGCCAGGCCTGTAGGCTGAAGATGGATGCCCCAACATTGTAGAGAAATCTTGGGTGACTGTCCAGGCAGCCAGCTGTTTCTGTCATTCCTCACATTTTTTGGAAGTTGCTTGTTTGCACTTCCTGTTTAACTAGGTAATATTATTTCCTTCTTGAGTCTCTGAGTGAACTGAAAATTAGATAGTTATAGTTTTCCTTGTTAACAAATTCAGAAAAGAAAGTTACTAAAGAGGTGTAAAGGGTATAAGTTTGAAAGACATCAAAACCTAGTTTTTGTTTGCTTGGTAACACAAGTAAGGACAGAAAGTGGATTAGGTACACTTTGCACTCACCAAAACAGGATAGATAATGGGATTTGCTGATTTGTCAAATCCAAATGGACTAGACAATGTCGATGTATTTATTGCCTGTATATAGTGTATATAGTTATTATACTTATTGTATATAGTTTTTCTTATATTAGTTAAATTTTTTTAAATTTTAGATAAAAGGGGAAATGTGGATATATTTTATTTATGGTCTAACAAGTAAGGCTTGCCTGGTGATCAGAGGAAAAAGCCAGCCACTATTATTAAACATAGAGGTCAGGCAGTGGTCGCACACTCCTTTAATCCTAGCATTTGGGAGGCAGAGATTCATCTGGATCTCTGTGAGTTCAAAGCCACACTGGGAACAGAGCCAGGAGTAGTAGCACATTCCTTTAATCCCAGCACTGGTTAACCATAGAGGTCTAGAGTTCTGCACAGACAGACAGGAAGTGATAGAGCTGGGCGGAAATAGGAAGTGATATAGCTGGGTAGAGAAAGGAAGTAAGATGGCAGAGCACAGAAAGGTATATAAGGTGTGGGTATACAGGAAGTAGCTCTCTCTTGGGCTGAGGGATTCCTAGGGGTAAGAACTTGTGGCTGGCTTGTTTTATCCCTCTGATCTTTCAGCTTTCACCCCAATATCTGGCTCCAGGTTTTTATGCATAAGACCTTTTAAGATTTGTGTTACAGATTTCTAGTTTCTTGAATTCTTTATATGTTCTGGAGATCAGCCCTCTGTCAGATGTTGGGTTGGTGAAGATCTTTTCCCATTCTGTAAGCTGCCATTTTGTCTTATTTATCATGTCCTTTGTCTTACAAAATCTTCTCAGTTTCAAGAGATCCCATTGATTGATTGTTTCTCTCAGTGTCTGTGCTACTGGTGTTATATTTAGGAAGTGGTCTCCTGTGCCAATGTGTTCAAGACTACTTCCTACTTTCTTTTCTATCAGGTTCAGTGTAACTGGATTTATGTTGAGGTCTTTTATCCACTTGGACCTGAGTTTTGTGCATGGTGACAGATATGGATCTATTTGCAGTCTTCTGCATGTTGACATCCAGTTATGCCAGCACCATTTGCTGAAGATGCTTTCTTTTTTCCACTGTACGCAGACCCTCCTTTCTTACACAGCCTTAGTAGTATCTCTAGACTTCACTTCTGACATTTAACTTAGAACAAAAGGCTTTTTGCATACCAGGTACATCAAGCTGTGACACAGTTCCCTAGATACCCCCGCCTGCCACAAAATGGCACAGCTGAGTTATACTGAGACAGTTAAAGCCCTAAAGACATATAGGCACTTTTATTTTACTCATGGTTTATATTAACATTGTAGACTCCTAACATTTTTTCCTAGCCACTTCTAAGATTATCGTTTGGAAACATATCCTTTTCAATATCTATCAAACAATTTCAGGCTTTTGTTAACCCCACCTTCTTTTATTACCCCCCCCCTTTGTACTGTAAATATAACTGCTATTTGGATGCGTCCATTCACCTCTTCCTTTGACCCCTGGAAGCCGGACTTGGGATGGAAAGAGACTTACTGCTTGTATGTGTTTATATACCAGTGCTCCTGGAGCATAGGTGACAGAGAAGAATAAATCAATGGACTAAAGAGCTTTGTGTACGTCGATTCATTTGAGTATCCCTCAGATTAATTCCTACTTCTGGTAGCATCTCTTCTAGAACACTGGGAAAAGGTTATTTAGGGGCTGGACCCCAATATCTTTTGATACAGACACAGCAGTAGCCAGAATTCCATAATCTAATGGGTTACATGTTACACTCATTTTAAAGATTTCTTTCGGAAAGCCTTAGCAATGAAATTTTAAAGCAACCCAGTAACATGCAAAGCATCATAATAAAGAATGTATACCTTGTTTTAGGAGCAGAGCAAATACTGCTCTTCACTTGAGCAGGCATACTGATACTTCAAATTATCTTCATTCATTCTTCTCTGCAGTCTTAAACCTGACCAATCACAGAGCCCCAGAATACAAACCTTGTGGCTTTGGACTTGCAGCTGAGCGTTTTGCTGGTGTCCTCCCATTTATTCCCTGAGCCTCTGTGGTTGTGTTGCTTGTTGTAGGAGGTGGACCGACCTTTGGACAGGTATTGATGCCTAGAGTTTAAAGGGAAAGAAAAGGTAAATACAGAGATACAGCACAGCTTTTGTTTAGTAAGTTAATGTTCTTCTGACCACCTAAAAACATGTTGCAAGACCTTAGAAACACTTGTCACATGTGTCCTTGACAGCTTTTCCTGGGGGAAGACCTCATTCTGTGTGCTTCAGAAAGCTTCATGTTCACATAGAAGCAAGACTTCTATACAAAGAACTCTCTCTGTCTGCAGAAAGGACAGAATGTAGCTGCTATGTGATATTCTAGTGTCCAGTCAGTGACCAATTTACTCAAAAGAACCATAGGAAAATATAACTGTGACAGTGGCATGGAGGCCACAGAGAATGTCTTGGAGTGAGATGAACCAATGTGCTCCTTTCTCCAGTGCATTAGTTTCCACATAACATCCACAACATTTGCTAGGAGTGGCCCATGTTGCAGCAATACTGAGATTACATGTATACTGTCACATGTATTTAAGACCCAAATAACCCTGAAATGCAACATGAAACACAGAAAGGGAGAAACATGGTCCTCTATTCAGCTTTTGATACAAGCTATATGCTGAATTTCAGACTTTTAGAAAGTCATATGCCAATATTTTCTCTTTATAAATAGAGTCAATTGGGGGCATGTGACATGGCAATATTAACACTAAAAGAAACTCCAAATGGGAGAAAATAAAATTTCTATCAGAAATTCGTTATAACTGGAACAAAACATGGATATTTAAGGAGCCATTGTTATGAAAGGAAGTTTCATTTTTGCATGATCCAAATATCTAAAGTGAAAACTATTCAAGGTCTTTAAAAACCTTAAAATGATTCAGAACAAATTTAAATCTGAAAAGTCCAACGAAAAGCCACTGAGTCCTCAGATTTCCACTCTACACAAGTGATGAAACAATATATATTAAACCACGACTCCTCTGTTTTCTGTGCCCCCTTTGAAATTTAGTCATTAAGCAGATTTTAGAAAACAAGAAGTTTCAAGTATAATCTGTGAAGTTATTAGACAGCCCATGGATAAAACAGAAATTAACGTGACTTTCCACAGACACCTTTAGGTGGAACTCTGATATGGATTAAGCATTGTTTAGCAAAACAAGCATTATTGAAAATTTTGATAGAATGCTGTTGAAATCCCTATTTGCTTGTTTGTTTTGGACAGCATATCATTATGTAATCCTGGCTGGCTTGCTTTCTATTTTGACAAGGCTGGTCTTAAACTCAGACACACCCTACACACACTTCTGTTTCCACCATGCTGGAACTGCATGTGAGCCACCACCATGCTCAGCTAAACGTTCAAATCATCAGATGGATAAGCATATACATATTTTCAGAAAAACCAAGGAGGCAGCAAAGTCTGTACCTCAAATACATAGCAAGCCAAGCTTTAAGGGGATTTGGGTGTTTAAGACAACAGAACCATGGAACAGTCTAAAGATGTCTATTTTGGTATCAGTTAAGGATAGCTTGGGGGCAGAATCAGTGAAAAAACACAGCTCAGTGTAAACCAGAGGAAGACACTTTAACATAAGCTTAAACTTCCACTCTGGTACAGGAAGACTGAAGCTTTAGCCTTGAATTATAAAAGCTAAAAGTGGGCTGTGATGGCTAATCTCAGGTGTCAAATTCATTATATCTAGAATCAAGTAAAACCTAAGGAGCTGGCAGGCATGTGTGAGATTTTAACTGGATCATTTGAGGTGGGAAGATGTACCTAAATCTGGGCCACACCTTCTGGTGGCAGCCCACATAAAGGACAGGGATGAAGGAAGCTTTTGCTTTTGCCTGCTTGCCCTCACTCTTACAGGCAAGTTCATCTAGCCTGCTGCTGGGACATTCCTTCACTGGTATTAGAACTTCTTTCTTCAGAATTCTAACATTGACTAAAGTCTCATCAGCTGAGGCATCCAGCCTCAAGGACTGAACAACTATGAGATTTTTATCCTTTCTGTCAGCCACTGTTGGCCTAAGTGGACTGACTACACTATAAGCAACTTTAATAAATCTCTTCCCTTCTCCTTCTTCTCTTTTTCTTTCTCCCCCCCTCTCTCTCAGACACTCACACTTTCATTTTATCAGTTGGAAAAACAAAAACAGAAGTCTTTAACAGACCACTACAGTCACATAATTAAAAAGAAACAATTAGTGTATTTAGCAACAAAGCTGTATCTTACAAAATTAGGTGCATATTTTTAGATAATAAGCTTATCCAGTGTGACAGGTTTCACAAATGCTCTATTTCTACAGACTACCAATTATGGATGCACCCAAAATTTTTATAATAAGAGGTCAATTTTCTTATCAGTTCATTGTTACAGATCAGCCATGGCTAGAAACTTCGTCAGACTAGTGTTTAAAACAAGTTCCCAACTTTCAGCCACAATCGCAAAACATGGATACAAAGAGAAGGGGACAGAGAACACTGTTTTTAAAGTTATTTAAAACAAAAGTAGTAACAAAGCACACCCACGACGAATCCTCCCCAGGTGCAGAGCAGAGAGGCTCCTCTGGAGGTGGGCTAGCCTGGCACAGGCTTCCTGAGCAGCCACACATCCACATAGACCATGGTGAAGAAAGCTCGCAGAACTTGCAACATGTCGTGAGCTACTTTGTTTTGATTCTTGGAGAGTAACAATAAAATGAAGCCTTTCTTTTTGTGACTGCCTCAGCCTTTTCACATTAGGAGACAGTTTTTATTTGTGTGCTTATGAGATAACAGGTAACAAAAACTAAATGGTCCTCATATCCAGAATATTCCACATTAACTACAGGTATCTCATATTCCAACATGACAGACACAGCAGCGGCCTGTGAAGTAGCATGGGGGTGCATCTCACTGAAACACTCTGTCACTCTGAGGACCGGTATTTAGCCTTGGTAATAGCCTGGGTTGTTTGGGGGTTCTTTGGGGGCCACTTTGGCCAACAACTAGAAGTATCTCATTCCTGGAACTGGAAGCTTTATTTGGTGATGAATGAGATTCAGTTGGGGTCCGTCTCTCCATTATTTGGGGATTGCACTTAGATTACCTTTGTATATCTATATATTTTAGGAGGCTACAGCTGTATTTGGTTTGCATAGGACCCCACAAATGGCCTTTAGTCTTAGCTGCCCTTTGACCCTGTCTTCCCTTATCTTCAGTATTGGATTCTTTGTTTCCATTTCCACCCACCTCACCCCTTCCCCCATCCACCTATAACTATCTATTCTATTTACCACACCTAGAGAGATTCAATCCATGCCCAATAGTCATTACTCTATACCTAACCTCTGTGGTGCTATGGATTATAGACTGCTTATTAACTAACTGTTAATAGCTAACATCCATATATACGTGAATACATACCATATTTCTTTTTTGGGGGGTCTAGGTTATCTTACTTAGGATGAATTTTTCTTCTACAGCCATTCATTAAACTGAAAATTTCATTACTTCATTTTTTTAACAGCTGAAAACATTACATTGTGTAAATGTGTATCCATTTATCCACTGATAGAAATCTAAACTGTTACCAATTTCTGATAATTATAACTAGAGTAGAAATTAACATGGTTGAGCAAGTGTCTCTATAGCAGGATGTAGGGTACTATGAGTATCTGCCCAAAAGTGCTACAGCTGGATCTTGCAGTAGATCTATTCCCAGCTTCCTGAGGAACTGCTACACAGATTTCCATATGGCTATACAAGTCTACACTCCCACCAGCAATGGATGAGTGTTCCCCTAACCCCACATCCTCGCCAACACGGACTGTCACTTTTTTTTATTGACCTTGGCCATTCTTACTGTTGTAGGATAAAATCCCAAAGTAATTTTGATTTGCACTTTCCTGATGACAAAAGATGTTGAGCAGTTGTTTAAGTGTTTCTCGGCCAGTTGTGTTTCACCTTTGAGAACTCTCTATTTAGCCCTGCAACCCATCTATTAACTGGATTTTTCTTGATGTCTAGTTTTTTTGGTTTTTAAATTTTTATGTGGCTGAGATAATAGCTCTCTATTGGATGTGTAATTGACAAAAGTCTCTTCCGATTCTGTAAGGCTGCTGCTTTGTCCAAATGATGGGGTCCTTTGCCACACAGAAGCTTTTCAGCTTCATGAGGTCCAATTTATTGATGGCTGATCTTAGTGCCTGTGCTAATGGTGTCCTGTTCAGGAGGTCTTTTCCTGTGCCAATGAGTTCATGACTATTCTACACGTTCTCTTCTACTAGATTCAGTATATGTGGCCTTATGTTGATGTCTTTGATCCACTGGAGTTGAGTTTTGTGTAGGGTGGTAAAGTATGGACTTATTTGCATTCTTCCACATGCAGCCATCCAGTTTGACCTGTCATATGCTGAAGATGCTGTCCTTATCCCAGTGTGTATTTCTGGCTTATCCAAAATCAGGTGTGCACAAATGTGTGGATTTATGTCTGAATCTGCAATTTGATTCTACTGATCAATGTGTCTGTTTTTATGTCAGTACAAATGCTGTTTTTATACTTATAGCTCTGTAGTTTAAGTTGAGATGGGGATGATGATGATACTTCCAGCAGTTCTTTTATTATTTAGGATTGTATTTGCTATCCTGGAATTTTTGTGCTTCCATATGAAACTGAAATTGCCCTTTCAAAATCTGTGAAGAATTGTGTTGGAATTTTGGTGGGAATTGCATTGAATCTGTAGATTGTTTTTGGTAAACATCTTTCTATACTAATCCTACCCAACCATGAGCATGGGAGATCTTTCCATCTTCTGGTATATTTTTTATTTCTTTCCTCAATGCCTTAAAGTTTTTATTATACACGTTTTTCACTTGCCTGCATAGAGTTACCCCAAGATATATTATTTGAGAGTATTATGAAAGATACTGTTTTCCCCAAATTCCCCAAATGACATCTGTTTGTCATTTGCATAAAAGAAGGCTATTTTTGTGTGGTAATTCTGTGTCCAGTTACTTTGCTGAAAGTGTTTATCAGCTATAGGAGCCTCCTGGTGGAATAGCTCCCCAG